ACTCACTGCCGCGCCGTCACAGAGGCCTCCCCTCCACCTCCTCCCTCCGCCTCCACCTCCCTCGCCCCAGGCGGTCTTGCAGGCCGTCCCCGCGACGGCGGCGCAGCTGGGCGGGATGCGCGACTCGCTCGGCGTCTCCGAGGCGACGGCGGCCCAGCTGCACCGCGACATCTTTGCGAAGAAGGCGAGCGCCCTCCTCTCGCCCGACCTCGGATCCGCCGCCGCTCTGACGCCGGAGGACCGGGCGGCGCTCGACGGCGTGACCGAGCTGCTCGGTGAGCCTTCCTAGACATTTCCATTTCCCTCGCCGCCACCCGCGCGCTTCCGCGCCACCCGGGCTGCGCCTGCCGCCGCTCCCCGCCCACACGCCGCCGCTCCGTCGGTCGTCGCCTCCCTGCCGCACTCTGCGCCGCGCAGTGTGGCCACACCCTCTGCCCCTCCGCACGCTCCTCTCACCACTCCAACCGCCTGCGTCCAACCCCTTGCGTCAGGCCTCGGCCAGCCCGAGGCGACCGAGGTGGTGGCGGAGCTGACGGCGCCGCTCTACGCCCAGAGCCTGAGCGAGGCGCTCGGCGCGCTCGACGCGGCCGGCGACGCCGCCGGCTGCGCGCCGCTCGTCAGCGGGCTGGCGACGCGGCAGCAGCAGCTCGGGATGGGCGCCGACGCGGCGGCGGAGGCGCTGAGGGGGGCTGTGCGCGGCAGCGCGGCCGAGAAGCTCGGAGAGGCGTGCAAGGCGCTGCGGGTGCAGGACTCGGCGGGCGCCGTCTCGTCGCTCCGCTCCCTCCTCGACTACGCCGACCGCACCACCGCCCTCGTCGAGGCCGCGGGCGCCGCCTCCGAGTCGGGCGCGCCGCTCTACGCCGGCATCGGCGACGGGGTGCGAGCTGTCGCGCACGGGAGGGCACGGGGGGGCGGACGCATGTCTGACTCGCCGCGCGAGCCCGCCGTCTGCTCGCAGGTGCTGCGGGACGCAGAGGTGCTGGCGCTGTACCGCCTCGTCCTGCTGCAGGCGCTGCAGAGCAAGGCGGTCTCGGCCGCCGACGCGGCCGCCCTCGAGTCGCTCCGCCTGATTCTCGGGATGAGCGAGGTTGCGGCGGCGCGCGTGTACGAGGCGGCGGCGGGGCCGATCTACCGTTCGGCGGTGGAGGAGGCGGTCGCAGGCGAGCTGAGCGCGGCGGCGAAGCAGGCGGTGGCCGCCGCCCTCGCCGACCTCGCGCTGCCAGCCTCGTCTGCTGCCTCCATCGGCCTCGAGGTTTACTCGGCGCGCCTGTCTGGCATGGTTGAGAACGGTGCCATCCTGAGCGAGGAGCAGAGCGAGCAGCTCAAGGGGCTGCGCGCCTTCCTCGGCATCGAGGACGAGGCGGTGTACGCGGTGCACGAGCAGGCGTGCGCCAAGGCGTACCGCACGTCCGTCAAGCAAGTCATGGGCAACGCGGGCGCCATCCCGGACGAGTACTGGTCGGGCCTCGACACGCTGCGCGAGCGGATGGTCCTCTCGCCCGACACGGCGCAGGCGCTCTTCGTCGAGGAGGCGCAGGCCAAGATGTGCGAGTTTGGCACGCGCGCGCTCGAGGCGCTGCAAGAGGCGCAAAAGGAGGCGCAGAAGGGCGACAGCAAGGGCGACAAGGGCATCGGAGGGGCCGTCTCGTCGGAGGTGCTCAACCTGGTCGACTTTGCGCTCGCGGCGCGCGTGCTCACGCCGCAGAGCGCCGACGGCGTGGAGACGGAGGTGGCCGCCACGTCGCTCAAGGGCAAGTTCGAGCAGCGCGCGCTCAACGAGCTGTACCGCCAGTACCTCATCGAGGCGTTCGGCGGCTCGGACGAGGCGCAGAACCAGCGGCTGCTCACTTCGCTCGGCCGGCTCGCCCTCGTGCTCGGCCTCGAGTCGCACGAGGTGAACAAAGTCCACAACGAGCTCGGCTCCATCATCATCCGCCGCTACGCAGGCAACGCGATCAAGGCGGGGCCGCTCGGTGCGACCGCCAACCCCCGCCCTCCCCGCCCTCCCCCTGCCCCTTCCGGCCCCTCGCCGCCGCACTCCGCCACGCCGCTCGCCGCCGCCCCGCCGCTCGCCGCCGCCACGCCGTCGCCGCCGCGAGCGAGAGATTTCGCAGTCGTAGCCCCGCCACTGGGCCAGCCAGACTACACAGTACTCTCGGACAGCAGCCTCCCGCGACGCGCCGCACATCTCGCGGCCGCGCGGCGCCCCACCGCTGCGCGGCTGCACGCGGCCGCGCGGGACAGCAACCGCCCCTTGCGCGCCTCCCGCCCCCTGCGCCCACCCCCTGCGCCCTTCCCGGCCCCCCTCCGCCGCCCCTCCCTCGCCGCCCCGCTGCGGCGCCTCCCCTCACGCCCGCGGCCCGGCGCTGGGGTACCACAGGCGCCAAGGAGATGCAGTTCGTGGACTCGATCCGCGCGACGCTCGAGCTGCCGCAGGCGCCGCCGACCGACGCGCTGCCCGCGCGGCGCTGTGGACGTCGTCTCTTCACCTGCTCTGGGCTGTGAGCAGGACCGGATCGACGCGCTGCTCCGCGACGTGAGACTGAACCGCGTGGCCGCCCTCATCGAGGCGATGTTCGAGAAGAGCAACCTCAACTCTGACGAGATCCGCAAGGCGCGCCGCCACCTGCACCCCGCGCAACGCGCAGCCTCGGACTCCTCCCCTCTCCCCCCCCACCCCCTCCTCCGTCACACCTCCTGTGCCTCGGCTGCGCCTCGGGCACACCTCGGGCACACCTGGGGCACACCTCGGGCACACCTCCGGCTGCGCCTCCACCGCAGGTGCTCTCCGAGGCGGACCTGCTCGAGGTGAACCTGCGCGACGACCTCGACGTGCCAAAGGCGCGGCTGGAGAAGATGTTTTCCATCGAGATGGAGGCGCTCATCGAGGGCGACGAGCTGACGGCGGACGACTCTTCCGCGCTGCTCGAGCTGTGCGAGTCGCTGCAAATCGAGGAGGAGCGCGCCGCCGCCCTCGTCGACGAGGCCGTCTCGAAGCGCTGCACCGGGGGCGTGCTGCAGGCGACCGCGTGCATGCGGCGCGGCGCGAGCACGGAGGTCGTCAAGGAGCGCCCCGACCGCGCGCTCCGGTGCCGGCCGTGCCCCGGCCAGCCGCGGGTGACCCCTCGGCTCGTCCCTTCGCCGCACAGGAGCTCGACCGCGCGCTCAAGTTCGCGCGCCTCTCGCCCTCGTCGGTCGCGCTCCCCTCGGTGGGCGAGAACGAGAAGGGCGAGCTCTACCTCATGTACCAGGCGCGAGGTATGCCCGAGATATGCACGAGATACACGCGAGCTCTCCTCATGTGCCAGGAGCGAGCCGCGCCTCGCCGAGATCAAGCCGAGGCGGCATTCCAACCTGCCGGCTCACCCCTCCCGCCTTCGCCCCTCGCGCCACAGGCCAACTCCGCGGCCGCCTCCTCGCCCACCGCCCAGTCCGTCGCCGACCTCGAGCTGCTCAAGACGGTCATCGGCATCAGCCAGCCGCAGGTGGCGTAGCCTGCGCGCGTCGGCCGGCCGCGTCGGCACGCCGTGCCGAGAGGCCGCCGCCCGCCCCTGTCAGGCGTGATGTGGATAGCGTCGCCCCTCCCAGTGGGCGGCCGCGAGAGGCGCGAGGGGGATAAAAGGCGCTGGCGTGTGCGCGGCGGAGAAGCGGCAGCGCCCGTACGTCGCTCGAGTACACGGACGCGCACGGGAGCCAGGGAGCGAGAGTGGACCGAGGGAGAAGGCCGCGGGCAGTATCGACGGCGAGGTCGCAGGACGCAGCGGCCAGGCTGCGCCGGCTGCTCCAGGGGTACTGCCGTCTCTGAGAGCAATGAGGGGGGTGTGGGCGCGGCGGTGTGTGCCGTGCATTGTGGCTCCTCTCGTCTCTCGTCAGGTGCTCTGCCCCCTGAGCGCTTTGCCTACTATTGATTCTCTGTCATGTGTCTCCAAAAATAAGCATGAACACTGTTCGGGTTCTAGCTCTTAGCATGAGCTGCGCCCTGTGTCCGAGCTCCGACCCCTTTTGCGCAGCAACACGACCTTAACGAACTTTTAGGCCCCCTCCAAATTCGGGTACGGCGTACGGGTGTCACGTGTGTCAGAGCGTAGCGGAAGTGGGCCCCGAGTTTGAAAAGGGCGACGGACGCTTGCGTCCTCGCCTCCAACAACGCCTCCCCGGCGCAGATGGGCCCCCGGAGGGATGCTCAACCGCTCCACGCCACGCCGCTTGCGCGGTCCTCTTCCCAGCTCCGCTGGGCCGTGCGTTATTTGGCGGCAACAGTGGAAACAGTGGATCGCGCGCGCGCCCCGGTTTTACGGAACGCCTGTGCTCGTTGTCGCCAGCGCGTACACTTGGCGTCACAAGAGGTATCCGCGTACGCGCGCAAGGCATGCCCAGCTGGAGACGGCTCAACGTGCTCGAGGATGACGGTCGCCCGTGCGGTCTCGCGGTCGTCAGCAACCTCGACGTCAGCAACGCCCTCGAGGTACTGCAGAAGGATAACGGCAGGGCCAACCGCCATTCTGAATCATCGCAGCCGGTGTGGGCACCATGGGGATCCACGAGCGGCATCGGGCACCGTGGAGGCACTGACATCAAATTGTGGTACTCTGTCCCCGAGATGAAGGGTGATGCAGCGCGGCGCGCAGTTCATGAGGCCAAGTTGGCCTCGATAGCGGCTGCTGGCAGCCGGTTCTCCAACACTCCTCCGGCCTTCCTCGATATCGAGAGAGAGCTGCGGCAACTCATCACCGTCTCCCTTCCCGGACAGCGCCCGATGCACCTGCTTAGCGGCTTTGAGCTCTCCCACGTGCAGGCCACCTGGATGGAGCCGGGTGACTCCATTCAAGAGCACGTGGACAAGGCGATATACGGGGACATAATCGGCACCGTCATCGTCTCGGGAACCTCGGTCGTAACGGTTGGTAGTCAGACGCTCGAGCTCTCGCCGGGCGATGCGTACATCCTTTGGGGCGAGTATCGTGCCGAGAAGAAGCACGGGGTCAAATACGACGGCCCAGTGCGTCTGCCCAATACGGCCTCGCATGCTTCAGCCTCGGAGCCGCGCTATTCGCTCACCTTTCGCTTCCGGTCTGTTGCGGACATCGAGATGCGGCTGGCCAACTTCGTGCCACGGCTGTTATCCCCTGGCCAACTTGTCGAGGCGCTGCACTACGAGAAGAACGAAAAGTACCCCTCAGCTTACCCCGCAATCGTCCTAGTACCTGACGCAACCCGGATGCAGGGGGGAGGGCACGACACAGCGCTGTCTTGGGTGTACAAGGCGCTGAGCCGCGATAGGCCGGCCGTGCCGCTGCCACGCATGTCGAGCGATGAGCCACACTGCCTTGTTCTCTACCTCAACTCCGACCTCCTGGGCAAGCACGCACCAGATGAGGACCACCTGCAAATTGTGCCAACGTCGAGCGTGTTGCCATTGCCTCTGGAGGAGGGCGAGAGTGCAATGCGGTACTTCCTCATGCATCAGCGGCCACAAGACGAGTCGATTCGAGCAGCGATTCAGGCGGCCAAGGTTTGGGCCGACAGCTTCGATGCTAATGGCGAGTCGAAATGGGTGGAGCGCAAGCGCTGGGCAGGCATTCGCAACGTGACCTCGGATCCCAGCCTCAATGGGAGGCCTGGGTTGGTAGTCCTTTGGAGCAAGCGAATGCAGCGGTGGCGGGTGCAGGTGGCGGGTGTTGATAAGCACCTGTGCTTGTTGCCGTCGGCCGTCGACTTTGACGCCCCTTTAGAGACGCACGTGCAGGCGAAAGAGAAGGCGGTCCGAGAGGCGCAGCAAGCCGCCCACGCGTTCAAACAGAAGTTTGCATCGGCGCCGTCCTCGGCCGCAGGAGCCATTGCGACGCCGATTGAGCGCGGCACCCGATGTGCGCTGCCTGCGTCTGAGGTGGCCCCCAATGAAGGCACGGGCGCAAGCGTCTCGTGGCAGGCCGACGGTGCGGAGGCAAGTAGCGACTCTTTGGCTGACGCGCTATCGCCCGCTGCAATGCCTGCCCTAGCCAATGCATCAGCGCCCGTGCCGCCGCCGCCGCCTCTTCCTGCCCCTTTTGCCCAAAGCGCCGCTTCCGCCTCCGCGTCTGCTGCCGTCAGCACGAGCACCCAGCTCCTTCCTCCACCAGAGTGGTGGAGGACTGGCGAGGACGACGTCAAATTCGCCGAGGTTTTGTGGCTGTTCTTCCAGGGCCAAAAATGCGTTGGAAAGTCGCCGTGGTGGCCCGACAATCTCTTTTCAACCGATCTTTGCCGCTTGCGCTTCCCAGGTGTAACCAGCCGACAGCTGTTTGAAGCGGTCCTCTTCATCAGACAAGAAGCGTCCACCGGCGGCTCAGTTGAGAGACACTGGTTAAAGATCAAGAACAAGGAGTCAACCGTCGACGTCGTAGCCACGCCTCGTGGCAAGCGGAAGCGCGACTGTTCGAATGGCAAGACGTGGGTAGATTGGGAGGACGGTACGGTCTTCTACACAGACGATGCAGGCCGCCCGGTCCCCTAATTTGGCACCCGCACCGTGGGCCTCTGTTGGTTTACTTTTTAAACCGCGCAGCGGTCCTTTTTTTGGATCTGCTCTATTCCGTTCCTCCTCCGCAGTCAGAGAGTCAGTCAGTCAGTGACAGTGTTACACACAGTGCTCTGGCGATTTACTGGTATAGCCCCCCAGAACTACGGCCAAAACAATCAAATGGTGGTAAGATTTACCACGACTTCTGAGGCAAAATCTGACAAAAATCGGAAAACTCGGCAAAATACCCGGTATTTTCCAGGTATACCGGGTTTTCCCAGGTATACCCGCAAAATACCCGGTATTTTGCCAATTTGGCTGAATTTGGCCGCAAACCAGCCTCAGACTCGGCTCAGATCCCGAAAATTTGATGATTCCACGGAGTTTCGTAATTTACCATACCACTCTCTGCTCATACCATACCACTCCCTAGGAGAATCAAATAGTGGTAAATACCACTCATTTACCAGTAAATCGCCAGCACTGGTTACACACACCTCCTAGCATGGAGGACGCGGGCCCACACGCACACCCACACACGCTGCACACGATTGGCTCGGGAGCCGACACGAGGCACGCTGTCACCGGCTGTAGCACTGGGTCCGGGCTGCTGGACGCACAACACACAGCTCACAGGAACAGCTCACGAGGTGGCGCTATATAGTGGGGTTCGCGGGGACCGACGCAGGAGAAGAAGGTGGGGCACAGGGACGGGACACAGGACTCACGAACTGACATCCCACCCCGCGCCGGGGGCGATGGCGCGCGCCGCGCCGGGATCTTTGGACCCGCGCAGTCTGGCAGACGTCAGGTCACAGATCCGCCGGCAGAGCCTTGAGCCGCACGTCCGCGATCCGCGCCGGCTCTCAGGCAACGCGCGCGCGGCGGTGAGGAGAGCGCGAGCCCTTGAGCTGCTGGAGTCAGTCCATCGCCCGCGCATGCGCGCTGGCCTTGAGGTGGTTCCACCAACAACTGGCCCAGGGGTTGTGACCCTGCGCAAAGCGCAGGAATTTGCCGAGCGCGCCCTTGGTCCTAGGGCCCCGCTCGGGGAGTTGAAGGCGGCCGCCGTGGTGCGCGTAAGGGTTCCGGAGAACCTCTTCCTCTCCTCCGGACGAATGATATTTGTTTTGCACGCGCGTGATCGTGCGATCCCCGCCTCGCGCGACGCGCTCGCTTGTTGCTGTCGACACCCGTCGTCTAGCGCCGCGCCCCCCGCCGAGATCTGAGCTCGACACCTCGACAGAGGTCTCTGGCCAGGGTCACCTGCGTGGGGTCCTGGGTCCCCGAGTACAACGCCACCCGTCCCTCTCATACACAAACGTCTTGATGGCCGCGTTATTTCGGCTGCCCCCCCAGCCAGCAGCCCGCTGCCAGACGAGAGGCTGCGAGCCAGAGCCCAGACCCCCTGCTCCAGAAAGGGGGACGATCCGGGCGAGTGAGGCAGCTGCTGCGCTATCTGGGCATCCTCTATCATAGCACTACTGATCCCGGTCATCAAGGCTGCCAGTGATAGCGACAGGGGCCGTCAGCAGTCAAACCCCCAAATTTGAGACATCGTGTATTAATTACACAAGGCTAAGAGATTCGCCCCCCTGGGAGGGTGCGGGACCCCGGGTCTTCAAACCTGCTCCGAAAGCCAACCGGGAATTCTTTTCAATAGTGTTGTGCGAGGGAGTTTGGTTGTAAAATTCTTTTCAATAAGGGTCCCGAGAATGAATCAAGCAAGAGTGCAAGAGAAGGTTGGCGATGCACGCGAGGCAGAGGTCGTCGGCGCGCCGGTAGGGTCGGGCGAGCGCTAAGAGGGTGAGAAACGTGGCCGAGACGATGGCGGCAACCACGGTGCGCCGCAGCTTGCGGGAGCCGTACTCCGGGTCGATGAGGAGCACCGTCTGTGATATGTGCAACGCGTCCGTCCCTCGCCGCCGGAGAATATGACTGCATTCGTCGTCGCCGCCCTCTTGCTGCTCCACTCCGCGGAGAAGACGTCCGACTTCTGGGGCAGGGGTCGGGGCCGGCGCCAGCTTTCGCACCGCATCGCGTCTCTCCACTCGCGGCGCGCCTCGCAGAAAGCGCCCCCGCCACCCCTGCCCCCGCCGCCGCCGTTCCCGCCATCGCCGCCGTCGCCGCCCCCGTCTCCTCCCATGCCCCCATCTCCGCCACCATCGCCTCCGCTTCGACTCGTCGAAAAGCTCATGGTCGCATCCGCCCAGCGACCCGTGCACATGCCTACGCCACTGTCCATGAAGCGCCTGTTTGAATCTCCGGCCCGCCCAGCTCCGACTGCGGATGCGGCAGCCGCGGCAGCCGAGACGGGCGGGTTTCTATCGCGCCTCATGGGCAGAGCCCTCGAGGAGGCGCCCAGCCTTCGTGGACGAACAATCTTGCTCTCGATCGACACGCGCGCCCTCCTGCCAGCCGGTAGCGCATTCTGGGCGAGGTCCGCCTACGCCAACGCTCTCTATGCAAACTTCCATGGGTACGATTATGCGTACGTGACGCTGCCAGAGAACGGCACGCACTTCGACAGACACCCGCTTCCACGTCTGCCGACGTGGTGTCGTTTCGTCGTCGTGGCCGCTGCAGCTCAGGCAGCGGGATGTCCCGTCCCTCATCCCTGTCCTATCTTGATCGCATGCCGCCGCTGCTACAGGCTGGCTACTCATGGATCGCTCTGCTCGACTCGGATATGGTTGTGCACCAGCCATACACGCCTCTCGAGGAGCTGCTGCGTTTCAGGCGGCCCCGCCCCACAGCGCCGCAGAGGGCGCGCGATCGCACTGCTCATCCAGCCCGCCCTCGCAATTCAGGCCGCGCGGGAGCCGCCACTCGCTGAGCGAGCGGGCGGGAAGCATCGCGGCGATAGCCATGGACAACAGCTGGTGGCAGCACGGTCACCCGTGCGCGGGCAACCTCCTCTTCCACAACGTGCGCTCTCTGCGGCTCCTTCTCTCGACGTGGTGGTCTATGGATGCGGAGCGTCGGTTCGGGCCTGGGGGTCAGTGGGGTGCGGTGGGCAAGCGCGAGCAGAGCGCGCTGTGGGGCATGCTCAAAGGGCACAAGGAGCTGCGCAGCGCGATCCCCACCCTGGATATCAAGTCGCTCTGGTGCATCCCAAACCGGACCCTTCACCACAGCGCATTCGAGCACTCGGCCGAAGGCGCAGCATCTGCTACGCGCGGCGTTATGGCTGTCCGCCCTTCTGAAATTTGCGCGGCGCGTGGCTAGGCGAGCCTCCTCACCGAAGGGGCTGCGACCATGATCTGGAGGTGTGGGGTGGTTGCTCGTCAGCCTTCTTTTACTGCCACGTGCGTGCCTCACGCGAGCACTGCAACCGTGCTCTACCTAGCAGCTTCCACCCCTTGCCCGCCAGGTGCCGCATATCCACGGCCAATACGCGCACCTGCACCCCGACGGCACCGAGAGCGGCGCGCACGCTGGGTCGTGGCCCACCACTCTGTGTGCTGCCCACGACCCTTCTCTCGGCGCCGTAGGCCTGACGGAGCGAGAATACGCCATCTCCCACGAGGCGGATCAGATGGAGGCGGCAGCTCGAGCGCTGGGCTGCCCTGCGGGCGGGCGCACCCTCTGCTCTGAGCGCGCAGCGCTGGCAACCATTCGAGTCTCGGACACCGACCTTCAAGAAGCAGCGGCTGCCTTGCTGCGTGCTCAACGCTGATGCACGCAGGTCTCGCCCACGGGTCTCGGATCACACACAACGAGACGCAGACGGGGAGACTTTCAAAACACTGGGTCTCGGGTCTCGCAATCTTTTCACACTTTTCTCTCTGCGACTGTGAGTAAATAAATAAATAAATAAAACGGACGCATCTACTGTGAGATGGGTAACAAAAAGGAACAGGTCCCCGCTCGTGCGATCTTTGTGCAGGATTCTTTGTACTGTGAGTGTGTTACCCGCGTTGCCGCGCCCCCCGCCCCGCCCGCCCGGGGCCGCCGGCGCCGCGCAGCGACGCTTTTTTGAATTTGACGCTCGGTCTGGTGAGCACTGGTGTGTGTTTCTATGGCTATAATATGAACATGGCGCACAGATACACACATTCCAACCGCAGGGCCCTCAAACAGACAGAGAACACTAGTCTATCCACAAGAGTTCAGTCCGTTTTCGCGGAAACGGAGTGGGCCGCTTGTTTTGTGCGAGGCGACCCATCCAAACGCGGCTGCATGCGCTGCCTCCGCCTGCCTCTATCTCCTCATGCAAAGCATGTAGGATGCCTCATGCTCCATGCCATCCTCGTAGATGCCGTCTCGCTCGCTCGCTCTCGCTTGCGCGCTCTCGCCCTGCTCGCTCTGCTCGCTCTCTGCTCTCCGCTTCCCCAGCCTCTCTCCCCCGCCTCTCCTCTCCCCCTGCTCTGCTCGGCACGCCTACACTGCCGCCCCCCCCCCCTCCCTCCTCCCCGGGCCGGCTCTCGCCGAGCGCTACGCTACGCTACGCGGTCGGGGTCTGCCCCGCCAGCCTCGCCGCCAGCGCGTGGCGCGAGCGCGGGTCGACCTCGAGGCGCGGCGAGCTGGGCCGGCTGTCCGACGAGGGGGAGGAGGGGCAGCCTCGGGAGGAGGCGCCGGACGAGCGGGAGGCGTCGTCGTCGGCGGACGACCCCTCGTAGATCCCGTCGAAAAAGTGCGCGAGCACGTCGTCAAACTCGCCCTCAAACTCACCTGTGCAGCCGGGACAAGGGGTCAGAGGGTTGCTGGGGCAAGAGAGGGCAGAGGCCGCCAGCTGAGGGCCACGTCAGGGAGGGCGTGCAGAGGGGGCGAGCTGGCGGGGCGGCGCGCACCGGCGGCAGCCTTGCTGAAGGCCTCCAGGTCGGCGGGCCGCAGCTTGGGGTCGTGCGGTAGCGGATCATCGCCCCCATCGTCACCACTCGAGATGGCTGCGAGCGGTTCGAGCAGCGAGTCGTCGAGAGGGTCGTCGAGAGACATGAAGCGGTCGAGCGACTCGAGGCTCGCCGTGCGCTCGGCGCCGCCCTCGGCGGCTCGCTGCGCATGCGCCGCCTCCACCACCTCACGCTGCAGCTGCTCAAAACGGCTCATGGCCCTTGCGACCGGTATGCGGCCGCCATCGCCGGTGATCACAGACCACTCACCGGTCGTGCCACACATGCCGACCGTGGGCCCGCAAGGCCGCTTCGGTATGACACCACTCTCCGCATCCACGTGGCACACACTGCCCTCCTCATTCACAAGCATCACCACCCCCTTCAGCATCTCGTCGCTCGGCATCTTTATTCTGTCGTCGCCGGCGCCGGCCAGAAATGTGCCGGGTCGCCGCTTGCCGCTTTTGTTGGGAGTGAGCGTCGGCTCGGCGGTGATTCGCGGCACCGGCGGCGGCGTGGTGACGCGTGCGACCATGAAACGCCTCCCAGTCGCGGTTGGGCTCCAACCCTCGGCCGAGGTGAGGCCTCCCAAAGCTTCTCTTCAGCGTGTTGTGAAACATGCTGTACCCCTCCCCTGTAACGCCCTCTCGCCTCACGATGGGTAACGACAGACAAGTTGGGAGGGGTGCTTTGAGCGGGTGCGCACGCTCGTGGGCCCAGGGCAGCAAGCTGCTGAGCAACGCGAGTCTATCCATTGAGTTGGCCAGCTCGAACCTTGATTGAGCACTTCCACTTGCTTGAGCACTGGATAGGGTCGATTCCGCATGGTACGGGACCCCTCGATCGTCTCGCTCTCCCTCACTGGAGTGTTCATTGGGGGGGGTCGTAACAAACACGGTACAGGATCGAGGTGCACGCTGCCGACGCTGCCGAAGCAGTGTCGTCCCCCCTCTCCCCGACGGCGATGGCGGTGTGACCGATCGAGCTACAAGAGGAGCTTGGTCAGCAGGATCCGGGATAGTCTGAAGCTACCTACCTCTCACTCTTCTCACTCATGCAAGAAGGCTTGTTGGTTTTCAAAAATCTCTCTCTCATGCATGCTCTCAACGGAGCGACAGGGAGATAGAAAGAGGCAGACGACCAAGGGTTAGGGTGGGCGACGGCTAGCACCACACTCCTCTCCTTAAAATCCCTGTGTGGTGGCGGCGTGCCGTCCTCCCATCCCTCCCTTGGGTTGTCGGCTGCTTTCTTTCTTTTTTCAACGAGCGACCTGAGCAACGCGAGCATGGCAAAGTGTAATCTCAAGCAGGTTGAGCTGGTTGGCACCGAGTTCTACCGGACCACGATGACGGACATTTCGCACATCGACGCAACTTTTTGGACACCGAGTCGGTTTTTTTGTTTTTTGCCTGTCAAAAGCGGGAGGGCGCTGACTGACTGAGATTGATTGGACATGTCCCATGACCTGACCGATGATCTGACTCTCCTCGAGCAAGGGCGCCCTCTGTCACGCGGCCTCGCCCGATCGAATGTCAAGGAGTTGCTCTTCCTCACCGAGGAGCAGGCCAAGGGCCTCAACGGCAAATACCCATTCAACAACCGGCGGTCGGGGTACGGCAGGTCCATGTACGTATTTAGTGGGCCGACCATCCTCAATATCTTCAACGATATGGGTGGCAGGGAGGCCCTCGAGCAGCGGAAGCAGAACAAGCGCAAACGCAAGCTGTCTGCCGAGAAGGCAAAGGTGACGGTGTCCGAGGACCGGGAGAAGAGGATTCAGATGCTGCACCGCGCGCTTCGGCACATCGGCGTCGAACCTCGCGACGACTCCACATTCCAAGAGGCTATCGTGCGTGACAAGCGTCTGTGGGACACTCAGCTGAAGGAGTGCATTTACACGGCGGCACAGATGAAGTACATCCACGAGCACCGATGGATGGAGTACGACGAAGCGTTGAAGGAGGAGGTAGAGAAATTGAAGCAGCACAAGGGCTACTTTGAGGGAATTTACCGCGAGTGTGCCGAAGAGGTGCAGGGTCGGAGCGAATTCTGCCTGCCAGACGACGGTTTGCCGTGGCTGCCAAAGAACTCCAAGACCGAAGAACAACTCAGCAAAGCACTCGCGATCGCAAAGGGCGAACTCTACGAGCCCGGCGCACCGATGCCGTGCGCCAGGCATGGCCCGGGTTCCAGTGCGTGAATGTTTGAATGGATCTCAGGGAGTCGGGGGGGCGAGGGGGGTGGATTATTGCGTACCGTCTGGAGAATTGGGCTGAGATCTGTTCTCCCTGGAACGTGGAAGCGTGTTTGCTCCTCTTTCGGAGTTTATACACTCCGACTCAGAGTACTCGTTCATGCCCGTGGTTGAGGTCGGATGTGTCGTGTAAGTGTGAGACTCTGACGGCTTTTGCCTGGGGCACGCCTCCACACGCTCCAGCTGCACCTGCAGTAGCTTGAGATGTCGTTTACTCGTTTTTTGAAAGTCGGAATGTGAAGACCCGCAGGCAGGGCTGGAGCGAAAAAAGCAAGCTGCGAGAAATTGCTGTCGAACACGCAAAACCAAAAGCCATGGCAAAAGCCAAAACCCAACCAACGCAACAGCAAATAGCCAAAAAAAACGCACAGGGCCACAGCGGTCAGCGCGGACCGCAGCGCGCGCGCGCGCGCGCGCGGAGGCGCGCGGGCCGCGGGGCCACGGCTAGTGTTGTCCGTTTGGCACGCATGTTTTTTTTGCGACATGCGCCTTCGGGTAATCGCCCCGCAAGAGCCGGACTTTATTAGCACATGTCGTATGTCGACGCAGTATTTACAAACGAGGCATCTCTGTGCACGGGCAGAGCCTAGCAAGCACAGCTCTCAGCACGCCGTCGCCTGTCGGCGCGCAGCCGCGGGCACCCTCGGCTGCAGGCGCAGGGATGCTCACGAGGGGCCGCCGCGGGGCCGAAGCGTAACGCGCGCGAGTCGGCGGGCGTCAGACTCAGTCGCCGCTGCCGTAGACCGCCTCGTACGCCGTCCGTCCG